AACTGTTATATACCAAACATATAATCCAAACTTTTATGTATGCTGCTTTATGTATAACCAAAACTGTTATATGTATAACCAAAACTGGGTAAAACACTTTAACCTAAAAGCAGAACCTAAAAGCAGTCCAAACTGTTATATGTATGCTGCTTTATGTATGTTGCTGTTATATACCAAACTGTTATATACCAAACATAATCCAAACTGTTATATACCAAATATAAAAAACACATTGACATGATATAATCCAAAACTGTTATATTCATTCATGTTGAACTGCAAAAACTAAAATTAACTAAACTGATACAATCCATATATTAAAACCCAACTATTACATTCATGTTGAAGTTATACAAACTTTAACTAAACATAATACTTCCAAACGAACCGTAATAACCTAACTACCCCTAACAACTAATACAATGATAATCATCACAAACATCAAATTCAAAATCTTTTTCCACTTCATGATATTCTTCATTTCAATTTCAAGTTTCATCAGCTTTTTTCCTAATTCTTCATTTTCCATTGTCGCTTTTTCAATGTCCTTTTTTGCTTCAGCAAGTCCCTTAGTTACCACACCCAGCCTATGGATCCAAAATTGCTCCTTCTCATCACCTATCTCCTCATAAAACCAATCAAAGAAGCCACAACCAACTTGCATACCTCCTTGTAAGATTCATTGTTTAGAGGATGATGGATAATAAACAGAAACATAATTTACACAAAAACATAACTTCAACAGAGAACAAAACCAGCTTGCATACCTTATAATTTGGACAACCCCAAAAAAGTTTTCCCATATTCTTAACAGTAGTTGCCCTTTGAAGAACAACCATGTCTCCACAATGGCACATGGGCTTCCATCGTGACCGACTACAAACATCAAAATCCCGACTTTTCATTTTTGAAATAGAAGACGAACATCCGGATTTCATGCTTGCCCTAGATTAATTTACGGATTCGTGATTGGGATTAGGATTTGGGATTTGAGATTGTTTTAGGGATTTCAACAGAAGGGGGAGGGAGAAGGAAGACACATCATGAACAAGAATGCCACCTCATCTGCCCGATATACAAAACAAACGGACGTTTGGGGGCAACTGACGGTGAGGACTAAAATGACACCATTTTAAAAGTTAAAGGACTCATTTGACACTTTTTAAAGATAAGGGACCAAAATGGACACCGAGTTAATGTTAAGGGACCAAAAATGTTATTTTGCCATAAATATGTATGTGTTAAAATAATTAATTTTAATTAAATAACAATGTAATTTTATATTTTTATATTTTATAAATATTTTAAAATTTTATTTTCAATCCTCTACAATATTTTAATAAGTTTTAATTTTTTTGAAGAATCGGTCAGGACTTATTGTCTTCACAATTAAAAGAATTTTTTGTTGAGTCATTAAACATTATTTTATTAAAAATGAAAAAGTGTGATATGGTGGATTCAAATCTACTATTTGTATTCAATATCAACTACTAATAAACTGTGGATACAATTAAGTTTTTATAGGAAGTTGATAATAATGTTACATTTTTTATGATTTCATATGTTATAATATGGATGACATGAATTAAATATCAATAAAATAAACATATGTATGGTAAAATTTTAAGTTATTCATGATTTTTAATTTTAATCAACTTTTCAAATTTTTTATCGGATTTCATCGTGTTATCTTCATTGTTATATGTATCATTCATGATCATATCATCATTATAGATAAATTACAAATTTAATAGATAAATTACAAATTTAATAAAATGACATAAACACCATATATAATTTTAAAATATGCATTAATTTCTCTTAAAGTTTATTAAAATAATACGGACATTATTTCTAGTTTTTAGTGACACTATAAGATTATAGATATATTATATTTATTTATAGTTTTTTGTCTATCAAAATATGGGAAAGGCTAACGAGTGCCCTCAGGGCATTGGTTAAGAGATTAAAATGGTAAGTTTGACATTATTTAAGAGATTGAAAATATATTTTTTTTCTAAATATATGTATATTCAATGTCCTGAAAAGAGAAATAATCTGACTTTTTAAAGAATATTGTGTGTATTGAGTGAACTAAATATAACATATTTTTCTTATTTGGAATTCTTAACTAGTGCCCTGAGGACACTGGTTAGCATGACCCATATAATATATATATATATATATATATATATATATATATATATATATATATATATATATATATATATATATATATATATATATATATATATATATATATATATATATATATATATATATATATATATATATATATATATATATATATATATATATATATATATATATATATATATATATATATATATTAACAGACCTTAAAGAGGTGAATGTAATATTTTCTAATCTTTATCTTCAATTTCTTTATGAAAATCATATCACTTCAATATTGTTTATCATCATCCTCATTGGTTAAATACTCTTCCACAATTTCTTTTACAAGTTGTTTTGCTTTGAATGCTTTACATCCTGAAATCTCAATAAAGAACTTTATTCTCATTTCGGTCACAATTTCATTCAACTTTGATTTTACATTGGTCTTTAGTTTGCCACAATCATTTTTACAACTCAACTAGACTTTGCACTCTTATTTCCAAAAAAAAATAAAAATTCCACCACACATGTTTTTAGGTTTAATTGTCTTCACCAAACGGAATTGAATCAATTAATAAAACAATTACAATTTTATCCTCCAAATTTTCAGTTTTATTATTAACCGTTCTTATTCCTTATTTTAATCAACGTGATATTTTTCTGTTCATTCACTACAACTTTTCTCCTTCACAGGCCTTCTTCTTACTTGCAAAGAGTCTATCTTTTTTCTATCCTAACAAGGTACATCATATTTCTTCTCATTTTTTTACCTGTATTTATATGTGTGCTCTATTAAATTAAACATTTTGATTTATCTTCGTGTTCATGTCTTTTTCATTTTTCAGAAATTATGTATAGTTACTAAAAACAAAATCTAAAATTATGATTTATGTTGCTTTATAGTGTTTTGTATGTAAAATTAACTTTTTATTAAGAACAAAAGTAGAAATTAGATTTGTTGCAAAACTATTGTTCCTGTTGCTTTTCACTACTATTCACGTTGATTGTATTCTTATTATGTATAGAGAAAAACTAAAATTAGTTACTATAACATAAAATTGGCTAATAATATTATGTAGTATAATAGGAAAATAATTATTAGTAACATAAGTTTTGATTTGTTATAAAGATTCTTAATTAATTTGGGATGAAATTATATATTTGATTTGTTTTAAAAATTCTTAATCTATTTGTTTTGATTTTGATATGATTTATTTTATTTGTTATAAATATTTTAATTTGATTTATTTGTATATGGATTTATAATTAGAGTAAATTTTTCAGTTTAATTTGTTATAGAGGACTAACGAAGACATAAGAGTCAAGTATATGAAATTGGTTCAAATGATGATTCTTCAAGTATCTATCATTATTGCTCTAATATGTTCGCTAAAAAACAAGCGTAGAAGATCTCAAATACCTTATAGAATCATAGAGCAAAGAGAGAAAGTTAGAAATAAGTTGAGGAAACATATTGTAGGAAGTGAGCGATGTTATGATATCATTCGTATGGATCCCAAAGCTTTCTTAAACTTGTGCAACTTATTACAAGATCAAGGTGGACTTACACATACACGAAAAACGTCTATCGAAGAACAAGTAGCAAAATTTCTTCATATAGTAGGACATAATGTTAGAAACTGTGTGATGTCCTTCTTTTTTAGACGCTTCGGTGAAACTGTTAGTCGTCATTTTCATAAAGTGCTAGATGCTTTGAAGAGGTGGAGGGAAATTTTTTAAAACAACCTGATGGAACACAAGTGCCTCCGCAGATACTTAACAACCGTAGATTCTACCCGTATTTTAAGGTAAACAAATTTTTTGTCTTATACAAATATTGATTAGTTTTCTTATACACTTTTAATATATAAATTTAATGTCAGGACTATATTGGAGCAATTGATTGCACGCATGTGCGTGTTAAAGTTCCAATAGAACTCGCACCTAGATACCGTGGTAGAAAAGATTATCCCACACAAAATATGTTAGCTGCGTGCTCATTTGACTTGAAATTTACATATGTCTTGGTTGGATGGGAAGAAACTGCTTCTGACTCAAGAATAGTTAAGAGTGCGTTGGCACGTGCACACTCTCTTAAAGTTCCACAAGGTAATAAAAAGTAATAAAAAATATTTGTATAAGTATTTAGATTAGCTAAACTAATGAACTCATTTTTTTTTAGGAAAATATTATCTGGGTGATGCGGGATTTCCTTTAAAAGCATGTCTCATTACACCGTATAGGGGAGAACGATATCACTTACAAGAATACTCTAGAAATCCACCTCGAAACCCTCGTGAGTTATTCAACCATCGACATTCGTCATTACGAATGTCTATTGAATGTGCATTTGGAGTGTTGAAGAAAAGATTTCCAATTTTACAAATGCAATAGAGCCTACATTTGGTATTAAAATCAACATAAAATCATCCTTACTTGTTGCATTTTACACAACTATTTGATAGGTGAAGACCCCAATCAAACTCTAATTGATGAGGTGCAAGATGAGCTTGTAAACGAAAGAGATGTTCAAGAGGGTCATCAAGATCATAGAGAAGAAAACGATGATATGATTAGCGGAGAGCCAATTAGAGATAATGTTGTTGGATCTATATGGCTAGATTATTAAAATTATTCTTAATGATTTGTTACTCTTATGAATAATGTTTTGAAGAATTTTATTTGGATTGCATTTTTTATTTGTAATTTGTGAAATGAATTTTAGTGTATGATGAACCTTTACATTTGAATTTGTGCATAAGTTATTATATTCTTCATTGTGTTTTTTAATAATAGACATGAAAGCAAGTTTAAAGAGGCCGAGAAAACTCAAAAGTCTAGAAACATGCAATTGGACAACTGCTATGGATGAAGTTTTGCTTGATGCATATTTGCATCAACAAACATTGGAAAATAAAAATGGTAATAGTATGACAACAAGCGCTATGGATAGCATTCTTAAAGAATTGAAGACTCACTTTCCGGACAAACCAATTTCCAAAGAAAAAATAAAAGACCACATGAAACACATCAAAACAAAGTTCAATTCTTGTTATGACCTTTTCCAGAATGGCTTAAATGGGTTTGGATGGGATTCAACAACAAATATGTGGATTGTCAAAGATGAAGTTTGGAACAAGCTAATTGAGTTATTATTTACTATAATTGTTTTATACACTTACCCGATAATTTTTATTTGAGTTCACTCATTAAAATTTTTTTAAGTGATGCATTGTTTCGTTTATTTTGGTGTAGGCAAAACCCGAAGCTGCTGAATGGAAAAATAAGCCAATATTATTTTATGATAAATTGGCTAATTTTTTTGGAAAAGATCGAGCAACAGGAGAGCATGAAGGTACAACTGCTGAAATGAGAGCAAAAAAGGCTGCAAATGTTGAAAAAAGTCATGGCACAACCATCGAAGAAATAAACCACTTAGTTAAAACCAATGAAGTTATTTTGGAGGGATTTGATGATGCTGAACATCATTCCAACAATTCTTCTACAAGGCCTTCTATTACCAATTATTAAGATGTATCATCATCTAGGACTAAGAAGCGAGTAAAAAAGGTTATTGAAGATGATACAAGTATGATTGAGATTTCCAAAACTTTCAAAAAAATGGTTGATGTGTTTGAAATGAATTCCATGGAGCTGGTCAAACAGAGTAAAAATGCTAATGGTGGAGATATTTGAGCTGAATTGGTTGAGATTGGGGTTGAACCAAGTTCTTTGCCTTTTGTATACATGTACCTTGTTAAGAATGCCGATGCATTGGAAGCTTTTAATGGAATTCCAATCGATAAGCGGAAGGAAATGTTACATCTCATTGTTCCAGACTATCTCTTTTGATAATGGTAATATATTTATTTATCACTTTTGATTATTTTTTTTCTTTAATGAATGAAATATTTGCGTAATTTATTTTATTTTGTTTTTGCAGGTTTTGTGGAATGCTTAAAGAAGAGAGTCATTATCTATTATGGATCAATATTTGTCTTTTTTATTAGCAAGACTTGATATCATTATCTACTATAGACATATATTTATCATTTAAATTTAGCAAAACTTGATTTTGTTTATGAATTACTATGAATACCCAGTATGATGTTGATCAAAACTTGTGCACTTGGTCTTTGCAATTTCAAGTTATATTAATCATGTTTTATTTATGAACATTTTAATTTATTACTGTATGTTTTAATTTCTTTCAAGTGTTAAGTTGATATTTTTCTATGATTACTTATATATTATGTTAGTGTGAGAATGTTGGATCTATCAATATTGTAGCAAAGAGTAAAAATGAAATAAAAAAGTTATAATGCTTTCCGCTCCGTCCAATTCCCAAACAGTGGAATAAGATATTAGTTCTGCTCCGTTGTAAAATATCCAAACAGCGGAATGAAGTTTATATTCCGTTCCGTTCCATTCCACTCCATCCTATTCCGTTCCGCTCCGCTCTGTTATTTTTAAATTATCCAAACACAGTCTAAGTGAACATATATAACAAAATCGTTATTATTATCTTTACTTGTTTCAAAACTGAATTCGTCAAAAGCATCGTTACATTCATTTTACGATATTGCACTTGATTCATCATAGCCATAACTTTACTCTTACTTAGCAAAACCTATACATTCAAAACACTTACTTTGGACTCTACATATATATTTAAAACATCACACTTGTGAAATTTTGCATACTGAGACAGTTTGATATCATCATTGTCATTCCTAAATTACCTAACTTTATTATTCAAATATCCGATATTATTCTACGAACAGAAGAATAATTAAATTAAGGATTCATTTCCTCATACGACATGTTTAAAAGTATGATAACATATAATTATATATTCTCTTATGAGAATAAGCTTCGATCCTTTTACCTATGTTAAGATACATGAAATACATACTCGATATACAAATAAATATTAGACTTCTATGAGAGTTGTTTATTGTATTTTTGTAAATAAATCATGACGTAAACATGCATTTAGATTAAAATATTCTTCTAGGATAATTTTCCTTATGAAATGCTAAAACTAAGACATAACACACAATGTAGAATATGATAATATGATGAGTATTTTGATACCAATTTATGTAAACGATGAAAAATATTAAATGGTGCATTGTATGCATGTTGAGATTTTAAAAAATTATAATAATATGATGGAAATTTTGATACCGTATTTTTTTTTGTAATGCAAAAGTTGAATAGTTCATATAAAAATGCATGAATGTTAAAATTTGTTTAGATTATAGAATATAATGGATGATTTGATACCATATTATTTTGCTGGTAAAAAAATATAAAATTATGGATGATTATTCTAAAGATTGCCAAAGCATAATATAAATGGTTGCTCGTTAAACTCTGGTTTTTTCAAATCATATAAGTTTTTGAAATTGTCTCTTTTGTCTCGTCTAGATAATATAATTCGGATGCACCTAATTTACTCAACGTCACATTGTTTCTTTGGATTGATTAGTTTGAGGGAAAAATTATTTGTCCAAAGAACACTATCCGAATACACCATCTGAATAATGTTATTCAAATACAACCTTAATATAAATCGCTTTCTACTTTTCCTTCCTATTCATTTGTGAAGACAAGTTTCTTATTAAGATGTTTTATTAAAGACAAATTTATTTAAGAAGGAAAATATTTAACAATGGAATACAAGTTTCACGACAAGTTTCAATTATCTTAGCAAGATGATTCAAGATATGGTTTAAAGGAATTAATTTGATCAAGCTATGACATTTGGAAATTAATCAAGATAAGTTATGGTATAATATTTTTTGATGATATAAACCTTAGATGTTCAAAGAGGTGTATGATCATTATAAATTAAGAGGAAATTGTTCATAGTCTCTTTCCAACAATTGTTATTTGATTTAAATCAAGAGGTGCATGATCATTATAAATAGAGGAAACTTTTAAATTTAAAAATACCTCTTTCAAGACAAATTTTACTGTGTTCAAAATTTTTTAACATAAATTTTTCTACTGCATAATTTTCATATCAGATAAAAATGTCTCTTTGACCATTTAAGTTATATATTGTTAAATCATATTGGTACAAAAAAGGGAAGAACAACTTTGTTAGAATTATGTTGTTATCAAAATTTTATTGTACTTAAAGTTTCATTCAGATTTGTTGTTACACTATCGGTATTTTATAATTTGTTTATCATGTTGATAATAAGAATATTAAAGAGAAAGTATGGTTTTATCTTTGTGTTTGTAACATAACAAGGTGGAGTGCCTTTGTGATTGTGTTAGAAAGTTAAGAGAATCAGGTGGTTTGACTGTAACGTTTCTAACATAGTGAAATCTCTCACGCGGTGTGAAGGGTCTGGAGTACCCTTGTTTGAAAATGGAAACTAGGATACATTGTGTGTTAATTTACTTTTACATCATATTTACTTTTCCGCTCTTTTACTCAAACAAAAAACGATAACTATTGCACATACATCAGTAAAAGTATGACCCAATCCACTTCTACTCTCAGAACGACACAATTTCCTAAATCCAACCACTTTGGGGGAGGATTTACCTTTCTGTCCCTCCAACAGGGGAGGCTGGCCAGCTTACCCTTGGTCACAACACTTCTCCTCGTCAGTCTCTGCCCATCACGCACGGTTCCACCATCCATAAACATGCAAGACGTCTATTTCCATAACTACACCCATGCCCGTTGCAACGGCTAGTTATGGGCACGTCTGCTTGTTGCAACGGCTAGTTATGGAAGTTACCTATTCTTCGGAAAACGATTATCTCGCCCCGAAATAGGGACCGATGGCCAAGCGCTGAGGGCACTATAAAAACCCTATTATTCAAAAGGGTCATGTATCCAATATTCACCCTGATATACTCATATTATTTATTGATCTCTCTCTTGCCCGATTCTTACTTTAGCATCAGAGTGCCTTGTAAGTACACCTCATCTTCCTCTTTCACACCCATCACCACACACAATTATCTTTGGCCCACCCCATGTTCTGATCAACTGGTAAGATTAGTGGTGTCGTCTGTGGGAAACTTGTCATCCCAGTCTTTTCTTTTTTTCGTAGACACAAGACCAAAACAATTCTTCAAAATCCCGATCATGGCCAGCCCTGATAACACTCTTGATGCTTGCAACTCTGCTTTCCTCCCCGTCAGCAAGACTGACGCTGACGGAGCCACCACTTCTCGTGGCGGCAACGTCCTCCGACAAAGGGACTGAGCCACATCTTTTCCATCCCCTGTTCGTGCAGATCACATCGAAGTCACGCTCGTCCCATAACACCTGCCAGTCCCAGTTCTGCACAGCGCCGACCCAGCCATGACTGCCTTCCTCGAAGTTCTCAATAAGACCAACCTCCCAATCCTCAACCAGAACGTGAGGATTGGAGTATTAGAAGAGTTCAGTCGTCCAAGATCCCTTCCGCTAAGGAAGGGGCGTCAGAGACCACACAGTCCCCCTTCCTAGTGCGAAAGGAATTGTCAGACACCTCCGAAGCCAGAGACCCTAATGATTCACAAGTGCAACCATATCTCTCCTTGGAACTAGCATTCCCCACAATCCAAGAGGACCAGAAAAGGCCACCGCGCATAATCCCAACATTCGCCTCTTCCCAGATCCACGGGCCGAGTACAAACCCCGTCTCCCCGACGAGACCGCCATCCTACGCACAGACGGAACGCCCGCTCCCCGTCTTGTAGCAGCAGCAGCAGTGACAACGAGTCGCGTGACCCATATTCCTAGGAGATCATGGCCATGCGCCTACCGAAGAGACTGAAGAAACCCTCCTCTCTGGGGACATACGATAGTACCACCGTGTCGCACCTCGAAAAAATCAAATAGAGATAATTTGAAAACATGACCCTTGCGTAAAAGGCGCAGAATGCGGTTCGATAGAGTCGCCACTAAACTTTATTTATCCCAAAGAGATGGGAAAGGAAAATATTGAGAAAACCTTTTAAACGAAAGACAAGAACACGGTCGACGCAACCAATGTTTTGGTTTAGGGAGTTGGTTACGCGAGGGGAAGGTATTAACACCTCTCACATCCGTTGTACTCAACGGGAACCTCTTAATTTGAATTGTGATTAATATTAGCTAAGCTTATTTGTTTTCTTCTCAATAATAAATACAAAACTGTACAATAAAAGAATAACGACGTTAAGGGAAAATGGATTGTTTAAGAATAGGGTGCTCGCCAAGGATTGGGGCCCTTGTGCATACGTATGCTCATTCAGACGAGAATGAGAAATCAGAGTTGTCGTAGTTCGACTACGGGAAAGGATAGGGGAAACGGAAGATGAAAGGAAGGTAGCTCGCCAAGATCATCACAATCTTGTGCCTACGTATCTTATATTAAAAAATGAATGAAAAATCAAAGCGTACGTAGTTCGTGGAGACAACCACGAAAAGAGAGGGGTTGAATGGTTTCAGATGATGATTACTCAAAGCTTAAGAAAGGCTCTTCAGGCCCAAGTAATCGGGAGAGTGAGTCAAAAACTTGACTCTCTCTCAC